GTCCCCTGCCTGGGCTAAGCCTTAGAGGGGGAGGACTGGGGGAGGAGGGTGTTTGAGCAATTCTTATTTCCTTGAAGTTCCTGTCTCGCATACAGATGCCTCCTCCTTACTACACCAAGGTCGATATCAATTTTTTTTAGCAATTTCACGGCCTCCCACGGGTTCATGCTTTCGTATGTGGGCCTTTCTTCATATTGATAACGTGAATGGTGTAGCCCCAAAACGGATGTCATTTTCGCTACTGGGGTGCTGAAAGGTAAAAGGTATGAAATCTTCATGTGAATAGGTAGAGAAACCACCAAGGGCGAATCAGTGAATTTCTTCCCAAGATGAATACTCTGTTAAGTTTCGGTTTTTCTCCTTCTCCTAGGGTTAGTCCTATGGGTCGGGACACTTTGCGTTCGGTTTGTAGTCCGAGTTTGGAATAGATACACATCGATCGTGCGATCGCAAAGTATGACCTGATTCTAAGGTCCGACAGTGAAAGGATAATGCGATTCTGCAAAAAAGGCGTAAGTATCATAAAGTCATTGTGTACATGCGTGTGCCGTATTCAAAAAGCAAGCCCCCTGTGTTGTTTTGCATCCACACAAGAAACAATTATTTTCGAAGAAAAAATTGAAAAAAGTCTCCCAAAAGCAAGTATACGCTGAGTTGTTGTTCATAGAAACGGCAGCGTTCACTTCTGAATGTTCCAAATAACATTTTTCTACTTCGAGACAGTGAAAAAATTTTCAGTTGAGGCATATCAATTTGCTACAACGTAGAGACGTGTAAGAAGTTGGCGAATAAGCACAGGCATGCAAGATGACGCTTTGAGATTGCTTTAGACGTAGGGTTAGGCGTGTTATGCTTTTGAGAGCAAGACTTTTACTGTGTCGTACGATACTAAAGCGTTGAAAAATCAATAATCGGTCAGACACCTGGAAAAGCGAGTGCCCGGCTGAAACGAAGCTTTCGGGCGTTCTGCCAGTTATGTGGTCCGTCCTCATCCTCGTACTCAGTGTGCGCGCTGCCTAGGATAATATCGATCGGCTGGACGACGCTGCTGAGACCGAGTCAGACAGAGGGACTCTCATTCAAAATCATGGTGTGCTAAGTCTTGCCAGTGTTCTGTTGATATTTATGACTAGGATTCTTTCCATCTTTCTCCTTTTCTCGATCGTCTCCACAATATTTGTCGCTGTTTTGGCTTGATAGTCATTTCACCAACTTGAAAGTGGCATGGAGATCGAGAACATTGTTGCGAATACCGTCTACATAAAAGCTCGAGAGAGTGAGTTGTTTTTTACCTACACCTTACTAAAGTATCTTGTGAAAGTGTGCAGTATGCTTCTCTCCAACAGAAGGTCACTACAGCAATGTACAGAACATAATACATGGTTAGTCAATCTCAACTAATGATTTCCTTTGATAGGTGGCGGCCAAAAGAAAGGGAAAAGCAAAAAGTGGAAGAATTACCTTCAATTTCCTCACTATACAGAATGCCTGCCTTTGCGATCTGAAATCGACGTCAGGTACGCAAGCAAATTTTGAACTTCCCAACAGTTGAAGATTTTTTTTACTATAGTGACACTTCTTTTCTTAAATCTAGTAGTTTTTGATATTCTGTTTCGTTTGTTTGTCTTGTCTTGTGTCAAACTGCTGTTCCTCTAATTTTTTCTATTTTTCTTTCTTTCTGTCTTACTTGGAATTGAGGTGGCTTAGTTTAGATGTTATTTCCCTCTGCTGACCGGTAGTACGCATGAACAACTCCAGCATTTAAGCCTCAAATATAGATGTAGAGCCAGCTCTCTTGCAATCGGCTGTAAGGGAACTTGAATGCACTTGACGTTTTCCCGCGGCCGCGTCGCGGTCTCCGCAGCAGAGCGCGTTGTAATGCCCTGTGTGATCACATGGACATTTGTATAAATTAAATGGGGCCAAACGTTTGCAAACATGCTTGTTGCTGGTGGATTGTTATATCTAAATAGATGTAAGGTCCACGTCATTTATGTGATAGCTGGTTTTTGGCTACGCTTGGTATGGATGTTAGTATAGTGGGTGAATAATGTTACGTTTTCCATCGTACGAATAGATTTCACCTGCACTTGTTTTCAGTCAATGTAGGCGTCGAACAGGTGCTCATAAATCCGTTTGACGGGCCAAAGGGCAAGTGTCTGAACGGGAGTGATTGGCTGTCACTTTTGGAAGTACCTCTTGGCGATGTCCACCAATAGGTAGTATTAGGACAGTGTTTGTACATTGTACAAGCGCACATGAAGAGAATGTTGGATCCTTTTCTTTTTGGTCAAATTTGTCATCAGTGGAAACTTCCACTCTCAACAGATGGCTTGAACGCTATTGTAAGTAGCGATATGGCGGCAAAAACTGAACTTCCCTTGAAAACACGAAGGTCAAACAAATGCTGGAACTTGAAATATTCTTACAAAAGTTGATCTTGAAAACACTGAACTATCCGTGCTACAGTTTTAGAGTATCCATACTGACAGATGCTGTATTTATGTAAGCCTTGAACATAATCCTATCCACTTTTATCCGAGTTTTGGCATAATTTGCTCCAATTTTTCGAGCATCTCTCATTCTGAGCTTTCAAACATCGCGTAAGATCCTCAAAAGTTATTCAGATGTTCATGTACTATAGAGAACCAACAGTAGCATGACAAAGGCTGTCCATACAAAAACCACGACGCAGCTGCAGGGAAATTTGCTTGTCGGTTTAGGCAGCTCAGTTTTCTGGTTGTATCACCATAATGGTCGGCCCTCGACTGGGGTAAGGCGGTAAGGCGTATGATGCTAGATCTTTAAACCGCATTTTCTTCTGTTTTGGCTGTTACATGTACCTTCTGTTCCCCATATCGAGATGACACTTATCTTTTGTTCCCTACAACGAGGTGTAGGACGTGGCACTTGTGGTGAATTTCCGATGAAAAGACGACATCACGTGTGCGCAAGATGCTCTCAAAGCCGAGTCTATTTCTGCAGTTGCACTGCACCTTGTTACGGGAATAAGGTATACCCATAAGCCACTATTTATTTGACGGAATTTTTAAAGCTCGTATTCAGTTTGTGATGGGGTTTGACACCTACTCTGGGTTCCGAAAGCTGGTAGGGCATTCATCGAGGATCCAGTCATTTCTGCTTTGCAAGGTGCACCTTTTTAATGATACGCATTTACAAAATGTAATGTATATTCCGAAATATTTGGAAGGTATTCTGCATGTAGGTGGGGAGACACCCAAAGATTCCATAATTTCATGTGGGGTTATCATCAGGGTCAACGTCACCTCGGTCATATTTCAAAAATTCCACGACCCACACATTTTAGAAAGTTTCGATACGACTCCCCCCCCCCCCGGCTTTCCCTAACGTTCTTGTGTGTAACCTGCGCGCGGCTTCATCGCCTGCTTTCCATTGGTGCGCGAAATCCTTCACTCATACTGCCGGAAAGAGACCTACACGAACTGCTTATCTTCGAATAAATGTAGTTCATTGCATACTCCAATTTTTTTCCTAAAATTTCTGGCGATTTTTAATCTTCGGGACTGCTTGATTCGAAAAATTACCATTATTGTGGTGTAAATTTTTTTTGATATGAGGTAGAGACTTTAGATTTTATAGAAACGCGCTTTTTTTTCTAGAGGTCGTAATTTCTTGCAAATATGGGTTGCGACAAGCGGTACGAAAATTTGAAATTTAAAATTGTTTCCTCTGCTTTCTGCTCACTTTTTTGGACCTTGTTTTCTCCGAAAAATCGTTCCGATGATGGTTTTTTGTGTTATGCGAGCTTTTAGGCTTTGAAATGCCGTGAACTTTCTCAATATCCTTTTGCAATTGTTTACCTCGCATACAGAACAGCGAGACTAAACTTTCTAACGAATACTTGTATTTTCAATATTGAACAGGTCAAAATAGCCTTATTTGTCCGTTTTGGGTGTTTTTCGGTCCGATTTTTGAAAACCTTACGAGTTTTTAGATTTGAACTATTGTGACTTTCCTCGTATTCAACTTTTTGCAATTCTTCAACATGCAAAAAAAACTACGTGATGGAAGCTCCTCAATGAATAACGAAGCAAAACTTACTTCATATTGGGATTTTTGGGTAATGGGGAATAGTTTAGAAAACGGCGAGTTTCATGTTTTACAATAGGTGCTTAATCTTAGCTGGAAAGGGTCAACGAATCCCTAGTTTCCAGGTCTTCTTCTGTCTTGAAAAGTCAGTTCGCTCAACTGGTTACTTTTTATCTTACATAGGCATTGGTCTAAAAGCATCCACTCTCCGGTAGGGCAATATTTGTGGCTGAGATGCGCTATGTACTCGCTTGTGGTTTAGAGTTGAAGAAGCGCTCAAATGTATACCATCACCTACAGCCGCCAGAGCAAACCGTTTACTCTTATCAATTAATGTGTGAGGCTGAGCTTAGAGCTACGACTTTAATCGCATCTCCTCACATTTCTTCATTTCCGTTGCGATTCTAGCTAGTCACTTATTTGATTTAGGACCCTCATAGCGCTAATCATCTCCTACCTATCGCTATAGAGATCTCCGCACATTGCGATGCTGACCTCTGCGCGTACGACCCCCCCCTTCCCTTTTTTCGTCGGCCAAATATGACCCCCCTCGATGGCCTCAGGCCGTTTTTCTGGGATTTTCTCTCTGCTTCTGCATCGCTTCAATAACCGCACTGGTACTATTATAACTCATTAGCACAGCTACACGGCAGGAGATAGATAGAAAAGTTCTTTTGGGCTAATTCACTTTGCTCACTTAGAGTGTCTCGTTAATCGGAGGGTAATACCGTTTTCAGCGAGTCATAGTATTCCTCTGTCAACCTGGGAATGAGCTTTTAGCGCACGAATTTCGTGGCGGCAAAGATTTTGCTTGACCAGGAGTTCATTTCGCGTAGAGTTTTAGGCCCTCACGATTATCATCTATATGTTTCACTGAGATGAAATGTGTGAAATGATTTTTGTTTTGCTTTACAATTCGTGCTGCTTTTTATAGTTACTCCTACATTGTTGAACGTCAGCCAATTGGGAAGTTGTTATTCCGCGAATTCTGTGAATCGACAAGCCCTCAATTTCACCAAGCCTGTGTCTTTCTGACGAAGGTTAACATTCTTCCGTTTCGCAAATATTACTTGTATCATTCAGTGTAATGCTGGTTGTTTTAGGTTGAGGAATACGAGACTTCTGATGATGACGTACAATGTCGACGAGAACTGGCTCGATCTATCATTTCCCTTCTTGCACCCAGTGATGATACTCCCTCTGTGAGATTTAATATTCGTTGGTTTTGTAAACAGTTCCGATCTAAGACGATTTTTTTCAGTCATCCCAGTGTGATCATACCAAGTGGTGTTCGTTTTTACCTGAAAACACCATATCATCGATTATCGCTACCGCTGACTCAGCTGCCCAAGATGAAGAGCCACGTACCGACATTTTTGCTGTAATTATTTTTTCTTATTGTTTTATAGCAATTTTGCTGTATAGGAAGCGTTATAATTTTGGCGCTCATGTCGTTAGTGGGGAAATTCAGGTGAGTGACCACATACGGTACTTCGGACTAATCTTGGGAAGGGATGGGGGGTTGGATGTGAGCAATTTTTGTTCTCAATGGCGTAGCTCCCCTTTCCTGGGGAGTCTTAGTTCCACCCATAGGCGGTTTTAAATGCCCTTGTCTCGAACGTCCCTCTAACGAACGTAAACGCAATAATGCCTTTCTCGATTCTCTGAGTTATGAAGCCGAAGAGCGCAGCGCGTGAGATCCGGGTTTCCAGTCAAGAATTCGTGGAATCGGTTCCTTTCTAGCTTAGTTCTTTGTTTTTGACGCAAACGTTTTTAAAAAGAATCCGATACACATTATTCATCGACGTTTGCCTATTTCACACGTTTAATGATTCGTAAAGTATAGGAGGCGTTTGCCGATGATTATTCATATTGTACGTAGCGCACGCTCCGAGCGCTTCCACGCGAAACAAGTTTATCGTATCCAGGGGATCATATCACCTTCAAGCGCGATTTTCTAGCCATGTCCAAAATTTCGGTTCAATTTCGAAAAAGTGGGGCAACCGTCCTATCTGTTGATCAACTCATCGTTGGAGTCTGGTTATGGAATGCAATTAACTTTCCAGACGCTTTCGAAAGACAACAGTTGGATCTGCTCATTCGGCATCATCACGGGACTTATTTTCACATACAAACACTTGCCGTTGTCAAGGAAGGTCAGCTAGTATTGCGGTTTGGGACTCACATCAATGACTGCTTCACATCTTAGAGGTTAGGTCGATCAGATACAACTGCTAGTCGCCCGCAGAGGTAGTTGGACCCCTTGAGCACCAAGCTCACACTTGTTTTTGACGCAAAAACTCCCAATTCAGGCGTTATGGGCGCCAAGGACAGTCATCACTGCTCCAAATCTTGTTTACCCCTTGATTACTTTACATGCAAGACAAC